CCGATGTCCAATCCATTCCTCTTGCAATCTAATTAGCGCTGGGCAGATCCCACATCCAGCTGGTTCAAGTTATATGAGCATTTGAATGTAAGAATAATCTAACTGAAGCTGAGCAGGTCCCAGATCCAGCTGATTCGGATTGGATCCCTTTTTGGATGTAATTCGAGCCTCAATGGAATTGAGCACATCCCAGGTCCAGCTGAGTCTACTTGGTGTTTGAATTGTAACCGAATGTCAGAGATAATCGAAAGTGGGCACATACCAGGTCAAGCTGAGTCCAAGTGGGGTTTCGATGTTGATGTACTTAAAACAGATTTGGAAGTGGGCACATTCCAGGTCCAGCTGGATAACATGTTGTTGTTTCAGCGCCATCCAATTCAGAATGTACTTGAAAGTGAACATGACATTGATCCAGCTGGATCCAAATAGAGCCTTCTTGAAATCCCAGTGTACGTCAATCAGAACTGACCTGATCCCAGATCCAGCTGATGTCAACTTGGTTCCTACTGGCAATTCTATTTGGGGATGGAGCAGATTTCAGATACAGTTGTTTCCGAATGTATTCATATAGGGGCCAGGTTCCATTTTATCTAAAGGCTGCCGCCTCTGCCGCCGACCCCAACTATTGTTTATGGGGAATACTGGTCGGAGGTGTATTCTCAGTTGCAGACCTCCTCAGCCCGTTTTCTCTTCGGCGGCGGGGAGGAGGAGCAGGTCTCGCGAATCGATGGGCGGGCGCCCCGGGGCCGCGCCGGGGGAGGACAGGAGGAGGAGGACGGAGGGGGGAGGAGGAAGGAGGGAGGAAGGAGGGAGGAAGGAGGAGGAGGAAGTAGGAGGAGGAGGGAGGAGGTGGGAGGAACGAGAAGGGAGGGGGGAGGTGGCCGGAGGGGAACCGCTGGCGACGGCGACGACGACGTCGGGCTCAGGGCGCGGCGCCGTCCCGCGGCCCCCGCGCGCGCGCGGTGGGCAGTGGCCTCGCCGAGGAGCGCGGCCGCCGCCGCCGCCGTCGTCGTCGTCGTCGTCGTGGTCGCCGTCATCCGCGCAGCAGGACGACGAGGACGACGACGACGACGACGACGACGACGACGACGACGGCCGCGGTGGCGAGACGACGAACGACGGCGACGACGCCTACGGCGACGACCCGACGACGACGACGACGACGGTCCCGGGTTGCGGCGGCGGCTGCGGACGGCGGCGGGGGCGGCCCAGGGGCCGCCGGCGGCGGCGCCCGAGCGGCGGCCTGGCGCTGTTTCTTCGGCGGCCCCCAAACTGAGAACTCTCTTTGCATGGGAGCGGCATGGGAGGGGCATGGAGAGGGGTGTTGGTCGAGTTTGGGCGAGAAATCGCGGGGTGGGGGGGCCCAAAAACAGAGGGTCCAAGGGGTGGGGATGCCGGGGCATGGGAGGGCCATGGGAGGGGCATGGAGGGGGGTGCTGGTCGAGTTTGGGCGAGAAATCGCGGGGTGGGGGGCCCCAAAAACAAAGGGTCCAAGGGGTGGGGATGCCGGGGCATGGGAGGGGCATGGGAGGGGCATGGAGGGGGGTGCTTGTGGAGTTTGGGCGAGAAATCGCGGGGTGGGGGGTTCCAAAAACAGAGGGTCCAAGGGGTGGGGATGCCAGGGCATGGGAGGGGCATGGGAGGGGCATGGAGGGGGGTGTTGGTCGAGCTTGGGCGAGAAATCGCGGGGCGGAGGCTGGCTGTCACAGGGGGGGTCGGGGAGGGCCCCGGCGAGGATGGCTAGGGACTGTGTGATGTGCGGGGACAACCTCGGATACAGCTGAGAAGGATTCCTTCCGCACACGCCTCATGGGGTCGGCGGATCCTGGCCGGCCAGGCGATCCGCGAGACGGTGGCGAAGTGGAACCTGGATAACCAGGACGCGACGGGGCATTGCATCGCATTCCGCTTTGGCGGGGACGAGTTCGTCTTCCTCCTCGCGTTCGCGGTGGAGGGCGGCACCGCCGAGTCAGCCGCGAGGGAGTTGTTGGAGGAGGTCCGCAGAAATGTGACCGACCGCGTCAGGGGGCACTTCAAGTTCGCCACGCGGGACAAGGAGAAACTGAAAGACCGTGGCGGCGACCCGATCAAGGCCAAGGGGCCCGCAATCTCCATCGGCGTCTCCAGCGTGCTCCCCCAGACAGCCGGGTCTGACAAGGTTGTGCTCCACCAGATGTACCTCGAGGCGGACGCGGTCCTGGAGGCCGCCAAGCCGGGCTTCAAGGAAGGCGAGGGCGCTTGCGGCGGCGTGAGCCTGAAGTCCGAGAGGTTGAGGGACATCGGCCTTCCCCTCCGGGAGCTCGCCGCGTTGCTCTGCGACCAGAACCCGAGCCGGGCGGCCAGCGCGGCTGCAGACCTCTTCCAGGCCGCAGTGAAGGGCGAGGACGAGAAGCGCGCGATCTGCGAGGTCGACGGCTGCCTGGAGGCGCTGGTGGCCCTGCTGACGGCCGGCTCCGCGGTGGGGAAGGAGAAGGCCGCCGGGGCGCTGCGGAGCCTGGCGGCGGGCAGCGAGGAGCGGAAGAGGCGCGTGGCGGCGCAGCCGGGGTGCCTGGAGGCGCTGGTGGACCTGCTGACGGCCGGCTCCGCGGTGGGGAAGGAGAAGGCCGCCGCGGCGCTGCAGAACCTGGCGGCGGGCAGCGAGGAGCGGAACAGGCGCGTGGCGGCGCAGCCGGGGTGCTTGAAGGCGCTTGTGGACCTGCTGACGGCCGGCTCCGCGGTGGGGAAGGAGAAGGCCGCCGCGGCGCTGCAGAACCTGGCGGCGGGCAGCGAGGAGCTGAAGAGGCGCGTGGCGGCGCAGCCGGGGTGCCTGGAGGCGCTGGTGGCCCTGCTGACGGCCGGCTCCGCGGTGGGGAAGGAGAACGCCGCCGCGGCGCTGCAGAACCTGGCGGAGGGCAGCGAGGAGCGGACGAGCCGCGTGGCGGCGCAGCCGGGGTGTCTGGAGGCGCTGGTGGCCCTGCTGACGGCCGGCTCCGCGGCGGGGAAAGAGAACGCCGCCGGGGCGCTGCAGAACCTGGCGGCGGGCAGCGAGGCGCGGAAGAGGCGCGTGGCGGCGCAGCCGGGGTGCCTGGAGGCGCTGGTGGACCTGCTGACGGCCGGCTCCGCGGTGGGGAAGGAGAAGGCCGCCGCGGCGCTGCAGAACCTGGCGGCGGGCAGCGAGGAGCGGAACAGGCGCGTGGCGGCGCAGCCGGGTTGCCTGGAGACGCTGGTGGACCTGCTGACGGCCGGCTCCGCGGTGGGGAAGGAGAACGCCGCCGCGGCGCTGCAGAACCTGGCGGCGGGCAGCGAGGAGCGGAAGAGGCGCGTGGCGGCGCAGCCGGGGTGCCTGGAGGCGCTGGTGGCCCTGCTGACGGCCGGCTCCGCGGTGGGGAAGGAGAAGGCCGCCGCGGCGCTGCAGAACCTGGCGGCAGGCAGCGAGGAGCTGAAGAGCCGCGTGGCGGCGCAGCCGGGCTGCCTGGAGGCGCTGGAGGCCCTGCGGACGGCCGGTTCCGCGGCGGGGAAGGAGCACGCCGCCGGGTTGCTGCGGGCCCTGGCGGGCCCGCAGTGACGGTGCTCCCAGGGGCGAAGCTGGCCGGGCCGCCCCCCGGCGGGCACGGGGCGGCTCGCTGCCGCCACGCGGCGCGGCAGTTTTGAGAGCGGGCGCGGCCCGGGCCGCAACTGGAGGCGCGGGCCCCGGAGGCCTGGGCGCTTAGGTGGCTCAGGCGCTCCCCGCCCCTTCGCGACCAGTCTCCTTCCTCCTCCTCCTGGTCCTCGTCCTCATCCTCATCCTCCTCCTCCTCGCCTTCCCGGTGGGGGTCCCGAGTGGCCCACGGCGGTTGCGATGTTAGTTCTGCGGATGCAAATGCGGATGCGCGGATGCATCCCAGTTCTGAAAGTTTTGTAACCCAGTTCAGAACCATGCTTTTGTATCCAAGGTTCGTTGGATTGCGCAACCGCAGTTATCTGGTTTAGGCGCGAGCCAAAGTGGCACGGAAGAGAGAGGAGAAGGAGAAGGATGACGAGGAGGATGAGATTGGAAAGGGTGAGTAACATTCCCAGCGGATCCTTGAACAGCTTTCTTGGACTCCCAAATCGTTTTTGACCCATGGGGCCCGCCATCGGATGATGGAAAATTTCGCAATGATACCCAAAACCTTCGCTGGGAAACATGGGAACATATCCCCCCTCGCTACCTCCTCCCCCTCCTCCTCCTTCTCCTCCCTCTCACCGCCCCCGTCGTAATCATCGTCATCGGCATCATCATCATTATCATCGTGATTCTCGAACTCCGTCTTGTCCTTCTCCTCCCGTCTCTTCCCTCTTCCACCTAGGTTTCCTCCTTCTTCATTCCTCATTTCTCCTTCCACCTTCCTCCTGCCTCCTCCCTCCTCCTCCCCCTCCTCCCCATCCGCCTCCATAGAGCGCCAAACTCACCTCAAGTGTGGCGGCGCGAGAACTGAAACTAAGTCTGAATCACCTCTTCAAAAGGTGACCGCAGCAATCAAACCGCTGACAGGCACCAGCCGTGGATCATCCACGCGACGATGGCATGGCACTTCTTCGCTGGAGCAGCTAGGCGTAGGCACATAAGGCCAAACGCTCACGCAAGACAAGGTCTGCCCATCGATTTCGGCGTGGTACCAAACTTCAACCAACCGAACGCGGCCGCGAATCATGCAGTGAGCAATGTCCCCCGCGTGAACAGCGCTACCCTTGCGCCCTTTGGCCACTGATGCGACGAGAATGTGTTCCGCACCAGGGTGCGCTGCCTGCAATGCCTGCTTGAGGGCACCTTTTGGCGGGTGAGCCTGCAAGAGGCCATGCTTACACCAATGCGACTGCATCTGGCGAAGGTGTTCCAAGGTAACTTCCTCAATGAGCCCTCGCTCGAACGACGTGCACGAGTATCTGTCTCTCGTCCAACGCTTCGCTAACTTGTGCCGCCGTTCTTGTGTCAAAAGACCAAGAAGGGTCTGAAACCGCCGCAGTTCCATGTACATGTGAAGAGATAAATGGAGCTTGGGTATCCATCCGACTTATCCATAAGCCCGCATGAACGACGCTAGGTGGACTAGTGCGCGTCGTTTGAGACAATGTGGTTCGACAGTCCCGTCTTTCACTTGGGTGCACAGGTCGAGCACGCTTGCGAGCTTCACGAAACGATCGACCTGATCATCCATGACACCAGGCCGAACATATGTTTTCAAAAAACAGCAATAACCCCGTACATGTGCATGGCTTGGTTCGCGTCGCACTTGAAGTGGCCACCTTGCAGGTCAACTCTGGATGGGCTGAGTGTCCCAACGGGGGAAGCCATTCTCTTAGGCCACGTCCATCGGGCCATGAAGTTGTACAGTTCGGATACAGAGATGCCCTTGACCGACATAAATATCAAAAGGGATTGCAGTTCGGTGTTGAACAAACCAGAAACAAGGTAAATATGAACCCAATCGTGCATCGTGCTCGTGATGCCAACACGAAGGCAGTTGTCGAGAAGAATGTTGTTGGGGTCGTGATTGAAACCGTAATGGTAACACGTCGACTCAAACTTCGCCTTCGTTATGTTTCCTGCAACCCATTCCCCATGCAAGCGCGCTAACTCGTTCAGCACTGTTCGCGCTGAGACATCAGTAGGCTGCTTCATGCGGCTCAGGTCCAACGACGTGCTGGGGACGTAACCAGCGCTTCCCTCGGTTTGCCCAGCGTGGGTGACTACGTTGGTACACGCTGGGCATATCCTGGACCCAGATGCACCTTTTGCACAGCATATCCACTCACCCATCAGGGCGCAGGCGCGTCAGCGAGCAGGCCCGCCCGCCCGCCCGACCCGCCCGTATTTGCGACAACCCCCCCTCCTCCATGCGGACGCTGCCGCTGGAGCGTTCGGTGGAGCTCCCAATGGGGCAACGAAACGTATGAGGGTGCGCCGAAATGCGTGGCAGTCGCGCGTGCGGGCGCTGCCACTGGAGCCTTCGGTAGAGCTTCCTGTAAAGCCAAGAAACGTGTGATGTGGTGTGCCGAAATGGTTGGCAGTCGCGCGTGCGGACGCTGCCACTGGAGCCTTCGGTGGAGCTCCCTATACAGCCACGAAACGTGTGAGGGGTGTGCCGAAGTGTGCGGGACGCATGCGGGCGGCAGCACTGGGGCCTTCGGCGGAGCTCCCTGTGGGGCCACGAAACGTGCAGGCGGCAGCACTGGGGCCTTCGGTGGAGCTCCCTATGGGGCCACGAAACATGTGAGGGGTGCGCCGAAATGGCTGGCAGTCGCGCGGGCGGACGCTGCCACTTGAGCCTTCGGTGGAGCTCCCTATACAGCCACGAAGCGTGTGAGGGGTGCGCCGAAGTGTGCAGGACGCATGCGGGCGGCAACACTGGGGCTTTCGGCGGAGCTCCCTGTGGGGCCACGAAACGTGCGGGCGGCAGCACTGGGGCCTTCGGTGGAGCTCCCTATGGGGCCACGAAACGTGTGAAGGGTGTGCCGAAATGGGTGTGGGGGACGCATGCGGGCGGCAGCACTGGGACCTTCGGTGGAACTCCCTATGGGGCCACGAAACGTGTGAGGAATGTGTCGAAATCGGTGTGGGGGACGCGTGCGGGCGGCAGCACTGGGGCCGTTGGTGGGGACCCCTGTGGGGCCACGAAACGTGTGAGGGGTGGGCCGAAATGTGTGTGGGGGGGGCGCATGCGGGCGGCAGCACTGGGGCCTTCGGTGGGGCTCCCTGTGGGGCCACGAAATGTGTGAGGGGTATGCCGACATGGGTGTGGGGGACGCATGCGGCCGGCAGCACTGGGGCCTTCGGTGGAGCTCACTATGGGGCCACGAAGCGTCTGAGGGGTGTGCCGAAATGTGTGCGGGGGGCGCATGCGGGCGGCAGCGCTGGGACCTTCGGTGGAGCTCCCTGTGGGGCCACGAAACGTGTGAGGGGTGGGCCGGAATGGGTGTGGGTTACGCATGCGGGCGGCAGCACTGGGGCCTTCGGTGGAGCTCCCAGTGGGGCCACGAAACGTGTGAGGGGTGTGCCGAAATGAGCGCGGGGGACGCATGCGGGCGGCAGCACTGGGACCTTCGGTGGAGCCCCTTATGGGGCCACGAAACGTGTGAGGGGTGTGCCGAAATGAGTGTGGGGGACGCATGCGGGCGGCAGCACTGGGGCCTTCGGTGGAGCTCCCAGTGGGGCCACGAAACGTGTGAGGGGTGTGCCGAAATGAGCGTGGGGGACGCATGCGGGCGGCAGCACTGGGACCTTCGGTGGAGCTCCCTGTGGGGCCACAAAACGTGTGAGGGGTGGGCCGAAATGAGTGTGGGTGACGCATGCGGGCGGCAGCACTGGGGCCTTCGGTGGAGCTCACCATGGGACCCCGAAGCGTGTGAGGAGTGATGGTGATGATGACAGCGATGATGGTGATGATGATGGTGATGATGATGATGGTGATGATGGCGATGATAGTGTTGATGATGATCATGCGGATTACGACGATGATGGTGATGACGGTGATGATGACAACGATGATGGTGATGACGATCATGATGGTGGGAGGATGGAGATGGAGGAGGAGGAGGAGGAGGAGAGGAGGAGGAGGAATGACGCGGGGCGCTGCCTCTTCAAAACGAGGACCCAACACCGCAGGATGGTTGGGAAACGCGGTCACACCTGACTTCGTTCTGCCACGCATCTAGGGAAGAGTCCTGAGGTGATTCAGACTTCGTGAGACACGTTGGCCTTCTCTCTGTGCAGAGCGGATGGGGCTTCAATTATCAGTGGAAAATCTTCTTCGATGCTTTCGACTGGGATGCGGACTGCTTGCGGGCCCCAAGGGAACGCGCTGTTGCATTGCGTTGCGTTGCGTTGCGTCTATCGCTTCCCCCTGCGCCCCCACCCCCCCCCTCCCCCACACACCCCCACGCGCGCGCGCACGCGCACGCAGGAATGCTTGCGCCACAGCTCGAGAAATCCTGCCGCGCCAGCAACGACAGTGGCGTAAATTCAACGGTCCACTAGCGGATTGTGTTCGGCCGCTCGGATTTGCGCGCGTTTTAGTAGTGGAGAAAGTTCGGTGGGTTCCAGTCGACAAATAACGAATGAGAAAGACCTCTCCGAATCTCCAGTGGTTGGGTTGCCCGATAAAAAAAACGATGCGTCTCTGTCTTGAGGGATGTTTTTTCTGTGTCGTGGTCGTGGTGCGCGGGGCGCCGCCGTGTCAGATCGGTGCGAATGAGAGAAGTTCTGCCCCGTCGTCGAGGGCAGGAATTCCTTCAGTCGCGGGCGCGGTCATCAATGACGTTTCATTGTCGCATCGGGCAGGCGATTGGTTTCTGCGTTCAAAGCGTTATTCCGTCGCACACGACGCCAGAGTCACAGTTATCTGAGCGCGAACGTTGGAGAGCGTTTGGGCCCTCGGGGGCTCCTCTTGATGCCATATTGGGGCTCTCTTGGGACGTCTCGGTCAGTGCCTGCGCCCGCGCGCGTCCACCGCGCCACCGTCGGCGCCCCCCTCGCACGTTTCGCGGACTAACAAGGCGCTCCACGCAAGGCCACGCGAGTCCACACCACAGGATTTCAGGCTACTT